CAAAGCAGCGCAAAAAACAGAAAACAAAGAAAAAGAGAAGGCTTATCACATTCAGACACCTTATGTTGTCATGATGCTGTAAAAATGCTGTGTGTTAATGTGTGTGTGTCCACTCTAACCTCAGACAGGGCTTTCTTGTCCTGGACCTTGCTGGCCCCCAGGAGCCGGAGCACATTTTTGGCCCCCTCAGCAACAGCATGTTCTACTCTGTAGTGATGCCTCAGCTCTTCAATACGCAGCTCCATCCCGCAGAGGTCCTGGTTGCCTGCAGCATTGGGGTGGACAAATCACATTTTACACAAAGCAACTGAGGCTGAAATACCAAAGGATGCTGCTTTAATAACACCTGCACCCTTTATTTCAGTTGTATTCTGTAGTTTGAGCTCGGCAGGTACAAGTTGACACTTGAGTCTTTTGTTTTGGCAACAGTGCGCTATAGGTACTCCCCTGGGCATACTAAGTTAGGTTAATGCCTTAATGCATGTCATGCATTACACAACAGCCAGACAAAGAAAACATCAGCAGTGCCTGCAGGGTGGTGAGCAGTCTCTGAGTGTTCCTCAGTACACAGCATTATTTCCAAATGGCTTTCTAATTCCCATCTTTACAAGTAAACAGAGCCATCAAAACCCCCTCTTGTCCAATGTTTTCCGTTTTGTGATCACTTAATTAAGATATAAATTTAATTATACTGGCATTAAGTTACAAGATTGTTAAGCTACAGAGAAAACAAACAAGTGATATCTCAAATACTTAAATAAGATCTCATAGGACTTTATATTATTAATAGCTTGTTGTCCAATATTCCCTGTTGTTACCACAGGTTACAGTTACCCCTAATCAGATAGATGGAATGGAAAAATTTATGATGTAATAATATTATAACATGAACCTCTAGCTAATGGAAAAACGTATAATAAATCATAACAACATGCTTTAAGGAGGAGAAGTCTGTGCAAGCATTGCATGAACAACTTTAAGACAAATCTTCATCAACAATAAGAGCTGAAACTGAACAAATGTATTATTTGACACAACTTTCACGTCTAGGTGTACTTCAATGTTTCCAGTCACAGCCACTTCAAAATGCAACTGCTTATTTCACCCCTTAAATGGAAAGACCTGCTAGCTGTAGTGTTGCACCTCATTTTCTGCTTTAATCTAGCTATCAGTCAAGTTCGCTCACTTACAAAAACAGACATGGGGTCAACCTCAGAGTAGCACCCGTGAAACAAAATTGCAGCTAAGTGGTTAGCTTAATGTCTCAGTAGCAGCCTCTCACAGCGTGCGAAGGACAAGGATGAACAAAGGAGCACACAGATAATGGAAGAGGAGAGGAGGCATGAGATAAGGAAAAGGACAATAGGATAAACAGCATTCAAAAGGGGTGCATTTGACTTTCAAATGCCAGGTTAGAGGAGAGGAAGGACAAAAGGACACAGAGGAGTGATTAAAAATGATTTTTATTACTTATAAGTCATTAAACACTGAATGAGACAGGAGGAGAAAGAAAGGAAAAGGGGGAGCTAGGGGTGGAAATGGATGTGGATGCTTTTATCTCCTAATAAGGTGTTCTGCCTGGAGCCCAGACCCTTCTAGATGACCTCTCCACCGGGTGTGGTGCCTGGAGACTGTCTGTCTGTGTACACTATACACACAACCCTGTGTGTGTGTGTGTGTGTGTGTGTGTGTGTGTTTAAGGAGAGAGACAGAATAACCAAGAAAGATCCAGAGACTTCGAGTGACACCAGGACAAAAGAAGACAATGTTGAAGTTAATAAGATACTGAGGTTACCATTGCAGGCAATAAAACATCTAGAAAGTGTAGAAAGTAGGGATGCACCGAATATTCGGCCACCGAAAATTTTCTACATACTTTTATCACCGAAATACATACTTTACGGCCGAAACAGAAAGTTGTGATGACGCAAACAAAAACCGCGGCCAGCACACGCTTGTCTGGATAAGCGCCAACATGTCTGCGGTGTGGACGTATTTCAATATATCT